TCTCGTCCCTTCAATTGTGGAAAAAGTCACTTTTTTGGCAGGGACGGCATCAGAATTTCTGAAGAGGTGGCCCAGTCACCTAATGCGTGATGCTTTAATAGTTCTCACAATGTCGGTCCCACCGAATTTGTCATATTTTTAGTAAATTTCATGGTTGTAAAGAATTCTCCTTACGTTATTCTCTTGAAGAGATCCAAAGATTTTCCTCAAAATTTTTCTTTCAAAAATTAGCAGTTTTTCCTCCTCTGTTTTGTTTAGGGTCCAGCACTCACTTCCATACGTAACTATAGGCCTGATTAAAGTTTTGTAGATGTTTAACTTTGTCTTCACACTGATGAACTTGGATTTGAGTTGGTTTCTGAGGCCGTAGAAACATCTATTAGCCATGAAAATTCTGTTATTTATATCGATTTTCAGGTTGTTGTCGCTAGAGATCAAGGTTCCTAAGTACTTGAACTGGTTAACAGTTTCAAAAGAGTAAGTCATTATCTCCAGAGGAGATCGATCAGGAATTTTGTCTGCATTTATAACTAGTTCCATCTCCTAGCGCTACAAAAGCGTCAATGACTGAGCGTTTTGTTCTCCAACTATGTCGATATCATCAGCAAAAGCGAGTAGTTGGACAGTTCTTTGTAAGATTGTTCCATTTGTGTTGATACCAGAGTCTCTAATGGCCTTTTCCAAAGCTATGTTAAATAGCAGGCAAAAAAGGGAATCACCCTGTCTCAGGCCTTTTTCGGTGAAGAATGGTTCAGAGAGACTTGACGAGATTTTTATTCTGCACGAAACTCTTTTGCCAAAAACAATTTATGGTGTTAAATTTCGTTATTAGGGTACCCTTCCCATAAACGGACAACACTCATAAACGGACAAATTTTTTGGTCCCATGAATGTCCGCTTAACGGAGGCTTCACTGTATATATATATATATATATATATATATGCTTACTTATGCTCTTATGTTTATTTCCAGATAGAAAGTTAGTATGCTGTGAAACAGCTCATAGAGATTTTTTAGAAATCCTTTCAACTGTTGGTGGTGCTGCTGAGAAACAAAGAGCATCTGTTTTTCTGAAACAAGTTGAAGTTATACCAGATGATCCTTCTCCTAAGGCTCTTTATCTTGAAAAAACTAGCAAAATAAAAGAAAGATCAAAGGTATAAACATATCTGTATTTTATTATTTTGTTTATGTCAGGGTGCAAAGCCTGCAATCTAGTCCCTTTCTTTCCAGACCGAATTCAGTTGTTAAAGGGGTGGAGACAGGGAGAATTTTAAAAATGATTTCAATCATTTTTATTTAATTTTCTCAACTTATCTGATGATAAATATTTACACTATTTGGCAGTATCTTTGGATATGTGTTAAATACAATGCCATTGCCCAATTACATTTAGAGTTATGAATCATGCAATATTTTAGATTCTATATTCATTTTTCTTGACAATTATGCTAATACTGTTCTGTAGTCATGCACATTTGTCTGTTTTTAGTCTTTTTTTTATAAGCATCTTTGTTTTAGTGCAATTAAAGTTAAATGAATTTTTTGGTTCAGTATAATGTAAATTGGTTTTGGTCAGTTTAAACTGTAATGAAATTGAATTTTTATAACTCTAAAAGCTGGTAAACATGTAGTTTTAAATTACCCACTCAAAACCACATATTACATTATTTTATTGCTTTAAGGTTGGAGATGTTCTAAAAATTATCAATCACTATTTCCCCAAATCTAGTATATTGCTCTTTTTATTTTCTTCTTTTTTTGAGAAATATTGTGCTGTCAAATATTATGTAATTACCGTAAGTATTAAGTGCAAAAAATAGACAGAAAACGCACATTAAAAATTAAACCTAAAATTCAAATATTCAAGATGACAAGACCTTTTAAAGCCATTTGTGGTCCTTTAATGATCAATATGCAAACATATGCTTTTCATCTGAAAATTTTTTGGAAAACACCACACAACCATAGGAGATTTAAAAACCTCTTCTTTAATAAATTTTATATTATTATATATTAATAAATTTGTATAATTATTGTTAAGTTGTAGTTGTGCTTTTATATTAATATCTTCATGCAAAAAAAAAGCTAAAAATTATAACTTTTAAAATTCTAAAATGAAGAGGGAAATCCTAATTCAAAGTGTTGTAAGTTTTAATCCATTGAAATTATTTTAAAAATTTATTTACCTTTAGTAAAAGCATATACAAAGCTAATGTTTATTAAAAAATGTAAAGATCTAAGTAATCTATATACAGTCACAAATATAATAAACTTAAATCTTCCACAGAGAAAGTTTTAAACCTGCTATTAAATTTTAGTAAATAAGAGAAAGCTAAATTTCAAAATTTTGTTTGTATGTATAATCTGTATTTTAATTTTTAAGTAGAAAAATGTCTGTGAAGCGCCTGTATTTAATCATTGACAATAATGCTTCTATAATACTGAAACTACCCATACTTTTAAATTAATTAAATTATTTTTATACCATAAGTTTTTAGGTATTAATAATGAATTATTGACTATGTTAAAAGGAATAACTGAAACATTTTTGTTTGTTTACTATTAATATTTTGTGTAGTAAATACATAATGTCAGAATTGCCTAGTTTTTCAATGGCGGGCATTCTCTATAAACTAGAACCATTGACGCATTATGGTTAAAATTATTGTTCTACGTTATTTAGGAATGATTATGTTTGCATTAAATAAGTTTATTCTCAAAGAGTACTTATTTGTAAGCATTAGGAAAATGTTTTAATAAATAAACTTTTATTTTCATGCAAATCTGTAGACTGAATTTTTAGCTATAATTTTATTTTTTAAATAAAAATTCATGTGAAATATACATTAAGAATCTGGTTGATACGTTTTATTTACATTTTTTTGATCCTGATGTTTAATAAATGGTTTAAATGTTTCTGAAAATAATAACTCAAATATTAATGAATTTTTATTTACTGAAACTTTTAATTTATACTGTTACAGTTTTTTAAGTAGTTTTTTGTTAATACCAAAATAAAAAACTGTCAAAGAAAAAATTTTGACATCGTGTCATGCATTGTCAAAATTATCAGCTGGTTTGTTCAATGAGTTTGCAGTGAAATGGATGTATTCAACTGAAAAATTGAAGTGATTCAGAATATGCTTCAATTTTAGGAGAACATCTATTTATTTCATATGTGTTTCTTGCTATGATTTATCAGCACAATTTTTTTCTTCAAATATTTAGGGTATCACTTATTTCTCATTTTTAATGATATTGTCGTGATTACATTTTTCATGTTAATGGAAAATGAATTTATAGTTTGTTTTATCAAATAAATTAGCAAAGTGTATTTTTATATTTTTGGCATTTATTTATATTTTAATTATTAATTAATTCTAACTAGAATTTAGTTTGTTACTAGTAATTAAATATTTTTATTTTATTTATAAATTTTACTTATCATCACGAGTACAATCAAATATATTATTCAATAAGAAAATAAGTGCAAAACATATAAGATCAGACAAATTTTTAATTCTTGTTAAGCTAATTAAATATTTTTTAAAAAAGGTCATATTTATACCTTTTTTTTAATTATTTTCAATGCCCTGTAACAAAATATAAAATTTACTGTCAATACAGTTGGTAAAACAAAATCATGAAAAATTTAAAATAAATTAAGAATCTTTAACTTTGAATTAATTAATTTTGTATAGTTCAAAAAATTAAAATATAAAATTTTTATTGTTTATTATTATTTTTTGCTTCTAAGTCATTGAAATGTTTTTAATAAAATATTTCACACTTATTTGGTTAGTTGCTTATTCTTGTTGCATCATTCATTACATATTTTCTTCATTAATATAATTTCATTAATATCTTAATGAAATTTTGCAGATTGTATTTGGTACTGGGGATTCCATTAAAGCAGTCACAGTAAGTGCTAATTTCGGATTTCTAAGAGCAGCACAATCACAGGTAAATATTTGAAACAATTTCAAAGTCACATTGTATGTTTACTACACAATTGTGATGCCATTATAAGCATTATATATTTCCCAGCTTATAAAATTTCTTGAATTTCATAAAAGTAATTTTTTTTTAATGATACTCAATCCTATTATAATTAAATTAAATCAATGATTTAATTTTTGTCGCATTTTATAAAAACCAAGTATAAATACTTTTCTTAACAATCAATGTAATGGCTAACTTTTTAATTTAATTCAAGTATGTACGGATTAATTCAGTGTTACGACCAATCTAATATCAAAATTTATTTTTAATTTTATTTTTCTTAAAGCTACTTTATTTTTCTAACCTCAAAAATGGTTTAGTAACAGGGATGTATTAAATATTAACACTGATTAGCTTGTTACCATTTTATATCAAATTTAATATTAATAACGCTGCATTGGTTTTAGTTTTGGTTGTATTATTTATCGATAACTCGTTAAATTTTGGATCTCTTCCCATGCTCCTAAGTTTCCGTTAGTGACTATGCATTCACTTGAAATTTGAACTCCTCAGCGTTAGGACTGGAGAATTTAATGTCCGATGGCCCCTAAGTCAGACCGTTGAAAGTTTTACAAAATAGGTAAATAAGAAGGGAGGTCTTAAAAGAAACTGTCTTTGTACAAGAGAGGACTTGATATTTTATTTTGTTGATAAAATATGTTTTTAAATATGTCCATATTTTTGTTAATTTTAAAAATGCTGCCTAATAAAGCAGGATGTTTTTCTTTGTTTGACCATATATCAGCAGTTTCACTGTGTTGTAGTACAACGACAATGTAAAAGAATTTTCACTATACCAATCCTCCATGATAACAATTTTAATTTAGTTTTTTTTATAATAGTTTTACATTTAGTGTTGAATTTTAGATTAGTTGTTGTTTATTGTTGTCAGATTTGTAGTTAAGAATACTTTTTTTTCATTACAATATTTTTGTTGTAAAAATTTAAACAAGTTGATCAATGAAAATTTATTTTTATTTGCACTCTTTCAACTATATTAAGTTTCACAGCAACGTAATATCTTTAGAAACAAAGCTATAAACATTTAAGCTATGCAGATTATTCTTTTTAATATCTTTTCAAAATTTCAAACTAAGTCAGATAGAAAGTGTTATTTTTTTCTCTATAATGTTTAAATTTTTTGTTCTGCATTACAATTTTTTAAATGAAGAAATAGGAAAAGGTTCAAGTTTCAAAAGAAATGTTCATTATCTATTTTTTAAATGAATTCTTATTTAATTTATTGTAATTGCCCAGGCCAATGTGTAATATTATTCAGTAAAAATAACAGACCCCTGACATGGAGATAAAATGATTTGTATGAATTGTATAAATGACTTTAAATATAAAAATACTGGCTTTTTTTTTTTTTAAAGGTTATCTTTGTCTTTTTTTTTTAGTTTTTCTTTTTATGATATGATTTAATCATTTTAATGTGATACAATCATAATTTTTACTTTTTATGAAAATAGGCATTTGTGTATAAATATGTTATAAATAATCTTCATAATAGTATTTCTAAGGAAATTAAACTGAAATCAAAATATTTTTAAATAGTTTAAAGAAAATATTTCAAAAAAGAATTGTTGAAAATTTATGGTAAAAACAATCTGAAAATTTACTATTAAGTTATTTTATTATTTATTTTACTATGAGTAGCAAAGTTTTAATTAAATGATGTCATTTTATGAAAAATTTATACCAAAACAATAAGGTAAAGCTTTACTGTGACTTATTATATTTCTTCCTGTGAATAATCTTTAATTGATTTTTTTAAGAGATATCAAATTTTACATATCACTGCATACTAAAGATGTCAACCTACAGAATATGTGTTCAATGCATTCTAATTTATTTTTATTAATTATTTTTATTGTGTTATTAACTAAAATTGTTAAGTGTGTCTCTTATTTTTACAGGGCATAAAGTTTGTTGCTTTCCTCCACGAATCAAGAGCCCTTACTGAATGCAAAGAACTTAAAAATGAAAATAGTTAACACATATGTAAATTATATTTAAATATAATAAAATATATGATTTAATAATGCAAGTTTGTTTTTTTAACTGCTTATTAGTCTGGCAATTGTTTTTCAATTCAAGTGCTTTATTCAAGTGTTAATCGTTTTAAACAAATAAATTTAAAAGGAATTACAAAGTGCTTGTGTAATTAATAATGGAAAGAAAGTTTTTAAAGTACCTTAGACCAAGCAAATTGAAATTAAAGGTACTCTGGTAAAAAAAAAAATTTGCCTCTTTTCACATAACTACAAAGTTTCAAAATAAAAAAGTTAAAATAACCTTTTTTTTTTTATTCTAAAATTATTTTAAAGTTAAAAAAAAGAAAAAAAAATACCGAAGAAATATTTTTTCCAACCATTTTATTTCTAAACTGTTTAATCTTTTGTTTATTACCCAAATCTGCCTGCCAAAACTTAGTCTTGAATAAACATTTTGAGGTAGTCAGTAATTTTCTCACAATTTAAAATTATTTATTTCTTGTGTGAAAAAAAATTATGCATGCAAGTATTAATATAATTCATTGACATACAGAGAAAATATGTACATATATAAAAAAATTTAATTTTTTAACAATACTAATTAGCCAATATAGATAAAACTCTTAACAGATTCATTGTGGAAATAAGATTTTTTCGTATACCAAACTATCAAATTTGGTAGCTGGATGAGATTCGTTTGTTAATGCACTAACTAAAATTTTATATTTTTTATTGGTGAATCAAATTAAAATGAAGCAAATATTCGTAAATTTTTGAAACATTATTATTAATATTGGTTATATTTGAACTTGAAGATTGTTATAATAAGATATTAAAAAATAATTATTAAATTCTAAAACTATTGCTAAATGTTTTGGTAAAGCCATTTTCATATAATTCTTTATCTACAAAATAATAAAACATAATTTTCTTCTAAAAGCTTCGCTAGTATTTAGACTAGAATTATGTATCAACCCCTTTTCATTTTAATTAAGGGTCATTCCATATTTGCTCAAAAAGTGCTAGTTTTAGAAAACGAATTATGAATAACCGCTAAAAAAATTGCACTTTTTTCGTTTTAGCTGAATCGCAAATACTTAGTGCGATAAAAATATTTTTATTTATTTATATTTTAATAAAGTCAATAGGGTCATTCCATTTTTTCTCAAAAAGTGCAAGTTTTAGGAAACGAATTATGAATAACTGCTAAAAAATTTCACTTTTCCCATTTTAGTTGGATCATAAATACTCATTGGGATAAATTATTTTAACTTTTTTATATGTTTCAATAAACGAAGTCAAGGTTATCAGACTTTTCCTCAAACAGTGCTATTTTTGGAAAACGTATTATGAATAACCGCTTAAAAATAATACTTTTTTTCATTTCAATTGTATCATAAATACTCACTGGGAAAATATTGTTTTTATTCATTTATATTTTAATATGGATTTATTTATTTATATTTTAACAAACTATCTGGAAATGTTATGTTAGTCGATAAAGAATGAGGCTTTATTCATTGTAGATTAATGTATGTAAATGTTAATCACTCTAAATATGGCTGTACTTATATTTGGTAATTAATAACTTCATGAGTTATACTTGATTAATTTTCAAACTTTTTCTTTTCCATTCGCAAACCACTCAGGGATTTGCCTCAATATGGATCCGATAACCTCAAGGTATGCAACGTTTCTTGATCACTTTTAAAACGAATTAGTGAGTCTAATTATGTCATTCAAGAAAATTGTTTATTTTTTTACCCACTCCCTGAAGGAATCGGTGAAAAAGCAAGGCTTTTAGAAGACCGTTCCAAACAGAGCAGGACATTTAGTACGGTAGCCTAACGAAAGAAGCCATTATTTTGCAGGAAAACAAGCAAAAGAAATCTTTATTTCTCATTATTACCCAGTTGGTTAATACTTAGTTAATCTTATTGTCTAAGATTATAATGAATACATAATATTGTCTAAATTTGGGTCAATTTATCAAATTTAGGCTCTAGTGCCATTAAACTCTACATTTGATTGAATCCTTTATCAACAAAATTATAGTCTTTACAAAGACTTATAATTAATCCCTTTCTGAAAAGATCCTCTTGGGGAAAATTGATGGAAATAAGCTTGAATGCTTTTTTCCCCCTTAGATTCATCCCAAAGGTAACTACTGATAACCGGTTAAAAAAATTTTTTTTTTCAGATTTAATGCTGTTGTTTAATTTTATCATTGATATATTAAGTTCCTCTTATAGTATTATTATTAAAGTGAGTTATGTATATATCACGAGATAAAGGTGGGATATTTAGAATGGGGAATTTTTTTTGCGTTATAAACCCCATTGGAATAATCATGTATAAATGTTTAAACTTATCTTGTTTTCTAATTAAATGATTTTAATTGCAAGAAATTGTTCCTAGAAATGTGTAAATTACTGCCTTCAAAAGACATTTCTAAGTTAACATTTAAAATTATTGATATTGATAGTGAAAAAAATTCTAATTTGCAATTCTAAAAATAAAATTCTTATGATTCTTTAAGGAAAAACTTTCTTTTTTCAATATCATTGGTGTGGAGCTCCTGAAGATCTTAGAAATACGCGTTACTGGGTAAAGGTTAGAACTCTGCAAACCCTTACGACAAAAATGAGCAAAATCTAAGTTAATGAGGGGGAGGGGGTTGAAGACTTAGTAGTATGTGACCTTCATTTTTCTTTGCTTGTTAACTATGAAAAATTAACTTTAATTATATTTTATACCGATGTTGAGCAGCCGACTATGAACACCTAACTTCGTGACTTTCTAAGTTTAAACCTAACCAAGAAGACAAGGAAATTTCTGGATCAAGCACTGGGACAAACTAGCCTTCTTGGAAGATTTTTTGATGTAACTTACCCGCGTTTGTGTTACATGGAGAGGAAAACCCCGAAAACTTCCCATGGTTAGCTCGATGGCAAGGGAATTCTAACCCATGATCTATCTCTGAGGATATTTTGCTTCAGCACTGTGATCGGTGCGAGTCGAGAGAAAAACTCGTCTCCATTAGCCACCGCTAAGATTCGAACCTGGGACACTTCATTGGGAGCTGAACTCACTATTCGTTGGCTCTTACATTATGATTGAAAAAAAAAACACAAAATACTGTCTATGAACATGATATGTATGAACTTCATTAAAGTTTAAAAAAGGAATATAGAAAGTTCTATGGAAAACTTGGCAACAGTGATAATTTTTCACTCCGTCATATTTGGTGTAGACTCGAAACATGCGCAAAATCTCTTCTATCTTTTCAAAATCAACCGTCAACGAATCAAATTGCATCTGGCTCCAGTCACCCTAATTTTTCAAGTTTCATTATTATCAATAGTATCCATAAAATCTATATTTAGCAAGGTTTTCCATATTATCATCGATTTTCTTACATCAACTAAGTAATCGAGAATCTAAGTAATTTTTGATCGACAAACTGAGCATAAGCAATTTATTTCCGGACAGCTACATTGAGAAGGTAAATAATTACCCCACTTTCATAGTGATTAAGCAGACCGAAAAAATCTAGTCTATAAAACAAATAAAACACAAACTTGAATTTGATTTGGTCTTAAGAGATTTTGGAGTAACTTTATGTGCAGTGCCATTATGATATTGTAATTATAATGTCAAATTGATTTGATGTGGTTTATTGTAATTCTTTTTATTTTAGGTTTTCGTTAAACCTGAAATATGACAACCTATTAATTAACTTTTAGACAGTTTATTTAATTGCTATGACAATTTTAGGTAAAATTAGGACTTTAGACTATTTATGAACAATTGGTTTAAAGGCTCAAAACAATGGAGAACAAAATGTTATTTTTTTGGCAAATTTCGCTGGGGAGCAATTTTTTAAATTTTTTTCTTCCGGTTAGATGAGATTTTTTAAAACAAATCTTGAATACTTTTGTTTCGTATATTTCAAATCAGCCGTCGGTTTCTGTTTTCAATTTACAGTTTTTTTTAATGGCAAACATTGTCGAGATGTACAAGTTTAAAAACGTTATACACAACAGGAGGTCGCAAAAAAGTAGTAACAAACTTCTAGGAATTAGAGCACATCATTAGGATTAAAAATGGTACAGGGACCTATGCAGGAAATGTCGTCATACGGTACGAGGGGCGTTTCCCCTTTATGGACTGTTTCTTCATTTGCTTCTGAACAGTTGGTGATAGGCAAGTGCCTCTAGCCGTGTACGACGATATTTCCGAGCAAAGGTTCTTATACAATTTTAACTCTGATCATGTACCCTAACTCCTCTTGAAGCTGGTCGCAACATTTACGCAAACCCCCTGCTTATATCACATTCTTGCACATTGCGACAAAAAATAAGCAAAAAAGGTCATTAAAAAATCTTTAGCTTTAGGTGCAAAACTAATTTCAGATTTGAAATCCCCACATCCGAATCAGATAAGATTAAATATTTGTATAAATGCAACAAAAAATTCGTTCCCCAGTGTTTTTCAATAATATTATAATCTTCCACAGTCAAAACATTTTGAATGGCTTAAACAAATCAAATATAAAACAATTAATAAAATTAATAATAACTGGTGATTAAACGAATCTTTTTTTAAAAAAAAATTAATAAAGAATATTATATAAGAATATTATATCTAAATTATCTTAAAATTTTTCTGAAAATTATTTTGATTTCATGTATTTTTAAACCACACGTAAAAGGGGAAAAAATAATGGATTGCAGGGCAAATAAAAATAGGGAATGAAATTATGCTGAAATTTGAGATAACAAAACTTATTTTATGTGTTGCATTTGAGATAAGAAAGAAAGCTGTTGAACGTACTTAAAAAGAAACTGTTTTAGTGAGATAATTATGATGAATAATAATAATGATGTAAATAAAAACATACGATTCATTAATATACGACTTTTCTCTTTTTTTATTCTATTGCTTATATATTTTTATGTCATAATTATTTTGGGAAATTAATTCTAAAACCTTCGCTGACGAACTACCACGATTGCTACTAATTTTATAAAAATATTGTTACATTA